TTCAAATTCAATCATCTAATGTTAATCCCATGTACCTTATAGTCAGGTAGCTTTATGTATTCTGGAGATACAAAGAGTATATTCTCAGGCTTCAGATCAGTGTGTATAAGTCGCATATCATGCATGACTGGAAAAAAAAAAGTTTTGAAAAAATCAAGAACCAGAAACATTTTAACTCAAGATATATGCACATTAACATGAAAAGAAAGCAGTGTGCTAACAGAATGATTGAAGCTTTAGCTTTGAAACAAATACAAAGAACTGTAGAGCTAAGTATCTAAAAGAAAAGGATAGCATTCAAAACATGGTGGTCCTAGAGAACACAAAGCCATCGGAATGGCAAAGGTTAAAAAAATGGCAGAATCTGACTACACACATGCTACACATTCCAACAGTTGTCTGGCAATCTCACGAACTAGATCAACTGGAAATGAGCGATAATTGTTTTTCCGTAGGAAATCGAATAAACTCGGTCCAAGCTTCTCAAACACCTGTTAAAAGCATTTAAATTCATTGACAAGACTTAAGTCCCTATAATATTTTGAAAGCCAGGGCAAGGAGGTTACCATGAATTAACAATATACTTACTAAACATATATGGTTACGGTAATCAAACCAGTTCCGTAATTGAACACAACTGCAAGGAATGAACTCTTTTAATCACAACATCGAATCAAAATCCAAGCGAGTAGATAAAACAGATATACACTTACCGACTGCCATTTCTATCATATCTTCCAAGCAACTGAAGCACATCAACTTCTACCATTGCTGCCTCGCGATATTTTTTAATGCTGCGGACAATTTTTATGGCTACTAACTCTTTTTGCTCCCTATCCCAGCATTCCAGAACTTGACCAAAGGTACCTGTAGAACTGAAAGAGTATTCTGAAGGGGATAATTCCCATGGAAAGAGACTCAAAGAACATAGCAAAAGTGGTATCAAGACTGACCTTCTCCGATCTTCCGGAGGATCTTATCTGCAAAAAAAGGTAGAAGTACAAAATAAGGACACTATATAAAATATCAAACAAGTAAAACCACTTATTTGTTTACATTCCTTAAATCCTACGTAATGAACACACAAATTAATTAAAGGAATAAGGATATTGACATCATAATACAACTCAGAATTAAGTTGACTTGAACTGTAAATGATAAGAGCAGAATAATTTTAAAATGCAGGCATAAAACAATGCAATCAAGGGCATAAAGTAAGAAATTAACTGGCTGGTTGATATACCTAGCCTCATTATGAAGGAAATTAGAGGTAGGTAATGTCCATGATGGACACTTGGTAAGAATATATTTTTCAGATTTATCATGAAGCTCTACTTTGGTTCATTTGTATCTAAGAAAACTGAAATATATTATTAAAGTACAAGTCTTCTTGCATTTGATAGCATTTTAAAAAGAACACTACACGTCTACACTACAAAGGAGATGTGAAAAATATCATTTGTTTTGCTTCTTTGTTTTCAGTGATGACCACACAAGATAACCTCCAAGCAATCCTTTGTCATTTGCAAATAAAAGTCAGAAAAATATTACGGAAAAAGGGAACATAAAACGCAAAGTTGTTCATGGTGAGCGTTATACATTAAGAATCCAATTATATATTAAAATGGGACATTTTGGCATGGGAAAGTAACATGATTACAGCGGGTAGTTAAATTCTCTCCCAGCTCAAATATGTAATGCCCATCTTTGTCATCATCTCGCCAAGGGGGAGAGCCTTTTTGAGCCAGACTCTTAACATATGCATTTTCATGATGAGAAAATAATCTTCCATGTGCAAAGCTTGACACACTGCCAACCTCTTGCCCATAATATATCCCTGGCTGAGCCTACACACAGCCATTAATTGATATTCCTTTGGTATAAGAAGTCATGCCAAAACTTCCCCCATATACAAATACAATGCACTTCAAGATATGTAAAAGAGTGACCTCATATACGAGTATGCAACAAAGGTAAAAGCTCCACAGGTAAGTTCACTCAAAAAAAAAACTTGAAGTGAAAAGAGCAAAGAATAACCTTTTTTACATTTTGTGAAAAATAATAATCTTACAAAGGTAAGGGTAAATTCCAAAGATGATAACTTTATATATCATATTATCATTCTCATAGATATACACATTAGTTTGGATAAGTTTACAAGTAATATGCATACTTCTACTGTAATATTCACGTTTTTACTGTTAAGAAATGCATGCACATCTATTTATACCCCTATGTTCAGAAAGAGTTGCACATTTCCTTTTTGGCTTGTCCTAAATAAGGTTCAACTTTCCTTTTAATGAAAGAATTGTGTGGTCTACATAAATTTCAATATGTGCCAAATCATTTGTGGAATTTTGTTCCGGGACAAGGGTGTATATTTCAAGCTATGTTGCACGGATTTTTTCAAAAACACACTGCTTCCCGTCCACGAAACGTACCCGTTTGGGTACTTGGGAACGTCCTGACGCCCAAATTCTATTCTTTGTAACCTTTAGAGGAGTTGGCGTTTCCCCGCTTCCGACCCCGTACCCACTCCCCGTATGAGTACCCGTCTTCGTCCCCGTGCAACTTAGAATTCAAGAACACAATATGTTTGAATGGCTCAACCATAATTTCCCCAGACCCTAATTTTGTGGGATTCTACTGGGGTTGTTGTTGCTGGCTCAATTCATAATGTCATTTGTTTTGTTCTTTGATCTGTAAATAGCACATTATGTGCATGCACAAACAACTTCAAAAGTTGTTAACCGTAAAGAAACATTCACAAAAATTACAGCCGGGCACAATTGCAGAAATAAGTAATTTCTTGTAGAATTATTCGGAAAATAAACAGCAAATAAAATAAAATCTGATAACGGGAAAATTACCTTTGGCGTATGAGAAGGATCCCAATCTAATCTGGCACGTTTCTTTGGGCGACGATCTATGTAAGCCGGAGGATAATCAGCCATGAGATTCGCTTCCATCGATCAATCATTCACAGCAGCTAGAGAAAGGGCCCCCGGACATGGAGACTGGAGAGAGGAAAAGAAAGGAGAAACCCTAATCGCTGGGAAACGCTTCTTCTCTTAGGAGAGCTCTAACCAGTTGGGACTATCCTGAAGAGTGAACAGTAGCCATTGGATCAAGATGAGTAGCCATTAGATTTCATGTTTCATGGTATTTATATACTTTCCTTTGTCTAAAAAAACTCTTTCTTTTTGTCCAAAAAAACTCTTTCTTTTTATTCAAAACTGAGTGCAATTCATATATTTCTCTCTATTTTGTATCATTTCTAGCTACACATTTTCCAAAAAATTACTGTCAGGTATCCTCAGCTTTGTGATAATAACTTCGAGACTCCATCATTTTTCAAAATATGGTACCTTAAAATTTCCGTAAATCTACCGTCCACACTAATTCCTCCGTCATCTTCTTCATCTTCCTTTCTTTTTCTCATCTTCTCCGAGACTTTGACCTTCTTCTCCTTTTTCTTCTTCTTATTCTTTTTTTTTTCTTCTTCTTCTTTTCTTTTTTTTCATCCTCTTCTTCCGATCCCTTCTTTTGATTTGTCGCAACCCCTCACCCTCTCCTTTTTTTTCCTTCTTTTATATAATTATTATTATGAATTTTATTATTATTATTATTATTAATTGTTATTATTTTAATTGTTATTTATTATTATTATTATCATCAACTTTTTTTGGGACTCATAAGCCAGTGCTAGAGTAATTATTATTATTGTTATTATTTTTATTTATTATTATTATTATTATTGTTATCTTTTTTGTGAATCATAAAGCCGGTGCTACTACAAAATTTTCTTCTCAATTGACTTTCTTGGTCAAAGTTTGTAAACTTTTACCTTGATTTGCGAAAAAATCACTATGTTATGATATTTATAAAGACAATAGTAACACTAATAACAACAAAAAAGATGATGATGATAATAATAATAAAATAAAATAAGTAAAAATGGGTGGGGGCCGCATCAAATCAAAAGAAAGGAACAGAATAAGAGAGAAAAAAAGAAAAGAAGAAAAAGAAAAAGAAGAAAAAGATGAAGAAGAAGAAGAAGATGAGAAAGAAGAAGAAGGTCGAAGAAGATGTGAAAAAGGAAGAGGAAGATGAAGAAAATGACGGAGTAACGGTAGATTGACGAAATGTCACCCCGGAGTAAGTTTTTGGAAATTTTAAGGTAACTCGGAGTATATTTTCAAAAATGATGGGACCTAAGAGTTATTATCACAAAATCGAGGGTACCTGGCAGTAATTTTTTTTTGCATATTTTCACATTTTTTGAAACTTTATACCAAGCCAAATTTAAAACCTTTTTTAAGACAGAGAGAATAGTAAGATTTGTATAATGAGGATTGAAAGAAATTACCATGAGAATATATCCAGATGCTTCAATAGATAGTAGATAGTACTCCATAAGTAGGGTTTGGCTAATACGATTTAATCTATTTAAAAAAAGAATATGTTACTCTGTATTGCTTGTTCAATATGAAAGACCCCTGTATATATAGGATAAATATATACGAGTAGTTTGGACTTTACATGCGAAGCTCATTGGCTCATAATACATATTTTGTGAAGTATAATCCATATTTTGTAATCCACGATAATACACTACTTAAATATAGAAAAGCCACATGCTTCTAAGCATGTTCATAATTTCATATTATCACGTAAACAGTCTCTATCTTTATGGGTACAAATTATTGTGAGATAAACAAGTTATATATATCTCCAGAATAATTGATGTGAAAAGTGACAAATTACTACCAAGTTTCTAGTAGGACTCAAAACTCTTTGTGAGAAACCGGTGGTCACCCAAGTAATGGGCTAATACCACTCCTTTCTCCCTCTAACAAAACTCCATTGCAAAAACAAAAAAAAAAACAAAAAAAAAACAAAAACAAAATAAGGCAAAACACTTTTCCTTTCCCTTCCTTCCTTGAACCAAACACACCCTCTAAAGAAATTATGTAACTTAAAATAACTGTACTCCAAACAAATCCCAGCAAAATATGTATAGCTTAATTAGTGTTTGGCAAGACTAGCCAAAAAAAAAAGATATATCTCAACATAGTTAACAAAACAGCTGAAATTTGGTGGAGGTAGCAAATCTTCATTTTTCCTTTGACTTCACCAATGGATGGCCTTCATCTATATAAATATGCACACAGAATATACAGATCACACAATAGAATCAATCAATAAGCTGAACATTAGGAGGATAACAATTTTATTTTAAAAAATTATAATAATCAAAGAAGGGGTTCAGAAAGCTCCATTTCGTTCGCGTTATCTTCTCGTGTTTCAGCAGGTCTAGAGCCTACAAAATCAAGGCCTAGCCATTGCCATGGCCAGCATATATATCTAGGTCTGGTTAAACCAGAAGTGAATGTCCCCCCGGAATCCAACTCCTCAAGCTGGCGGCTGAGCTCCTCCACTCTGTCCCTCAGCCTTGTTGCCCTTGAATCCGCCAGCGCCAGTGATTTCGCGGCAGCATCTCTGGCGGCAATTGCAGCGGCGGCTGTTTCTTCTTTGAACTTGAGCTTTTTCTCAGACTCTATGGCAGCCTGCTTTGCCTCTTCAAGTTCCTGACGAACAGCAGACAACTGCAAGATAATGAAACACTCTGTTAACTTCTACATCGTTGATTAAATGCTTCTCGATTTTCCCAAACAACTTCACTCAAAGAGAGTGACAAATAGGTTTTGCACTTCAGAATTCAGATACTACAATTCCAGAGTATTCTGTATTTTAACAACTATATGGTTCATGGTTTCACCAAAATTTCCATATCATTCCTAAAGACGAATTTAAGAATGTACTCCCTTCATTCCTATTTAAGTAATTTAACTCTGTTTTGCTTTGCACATCAAACGTTTGACTAACTATACCTAAAAATATGAATGAATTAAAATATAAAAATTATACTCTCTCCGTCCATAAATAAACTTCCCACTTTCCTTTTTCGTCCGTCCACAAATAAACTTCTCGTTTCCTTTTTTGGAAACTTTTTTCAAGCAAAAAGACTTAATTACCCCACCCTCCACTCTCTTTCTTTTCTTTTTCCTTTCTCCCTCGCCACATCTTATCCATTCTTTACATTACGCGTTACGATGTTTGTCTGAAGTTATTTTCAAATCATTTTATATGAAAAATGGTGTAGAATTGAAAAATAAAAATTACATATTAAAAAACTATATCAAAAGATCTACAAAACTAGAGGTGACATGACTATATTATTTTATCAAATGGGTGACGAAAATAGGCCAACAAAGTGATTAAATTTTGACCCTGTGAATAGTGAACATAAAGTTTATTTGTGGACGGAGGGAGTATCTCTGGATTAGGCGGCGGACGGAGGTTGGAGCTCAGGATTGGGAGGAGGCTAGCTAGGTTCGGCCGGTGGCAGCTGGATAAAGGCTCAAGTTCGGACGGTGGGTGAGGACGACGGTGGTAAGCAGGTGAAATTGGCAATAACAAAGATGAGATCAGAGGCTCTGGATTGGAAGGAGACCGAGGTACGGCCGGTGGCTAAGGACGACAACTGTAGGCAAGTGAAATTGGCGATGTTAGGATTGGAAGGAGTCCCGGCGGCAGCGAGCTTTGGATTGTCTCGCTGTGTTTCGAAGGTAAAATCGGCGATATCAATTGATGATATCGGCAAAATAATACCGATTTCAAGATGCGGCCTTTTGAGAGAATTTGGAAACCTCCCGATTTCAGTTATAAATTCCTTTTTACTCTCACCAAACATATATTTTGGGAACTTCATATCTCAGATATCGAAATCCATATCTTTCTTTCTCACCAAACAGGCCCTTAGATGGTTCATAATTTCACCAAAATTTCCCTATCATTCCTATTTAAGTAATTTTACTGTCCGTTTTGCTTTGCACGTCAAACGTTGGACTATCTATATATGAAAATATACAATGAATTAAATTATAAAAATTATACCATATTATTGATATCAAAAAATACTTTAAAATGTATTATTTCTAATATTTTTTGCTAATGTATTTAAGAGATATTATTGGTCAAATTTTAAGTTCGAAAAGCGAACCACACAGTTAAATAATGGAGGGAGTATGTGCCACCAATTTGTGTTGTTGGGTTCTTAAAGGATTGTGTGCGTAGCCGGGAATGACAGTTAAAGGACTCACTTTAAACTAAAATTTACGTAGTAAAAAGTTTACGAGATTATTCTCAGCACATGCTGAATGCTACAGCATTAATGGTAATGTAAGAAGTCACTCTACAGAGTATGAATAAAACCTCCGGATACAAAGATAATACAAAGAGTTCAAAACATGATATACAGTGTCATCTGCCTAGCTCTGTTTCTGCTAGATGCAAATTGCAAGTCTTCAAGATTCTTAAGTTATTTTACTTATTTAAATTACTTTGTACTAGCCACTCATCACAATTGCACATACATCCAATCAATAAGAAACAAAAAAACAAGTATTGAAACACATGCATCATAAAATATCTTATCGGAGCAAGGATCCATAAGACTGAAAAGGTTAAGTGAATAAATCATAAGCATACCTGTGCCATATATTTTTGCTCGACATCTTTCCCTGCTGCAGCTTCTTCTTCTGCTGCTATTCTCCACCTTGAAATTTCTTCTTCAGCGGCAGCAATATCGAGCATAAGGCCTTCAACCTGTATTTGAGAATTAGTATAATAAGTTAAAAACTCCCTAATATTACAAAGTGCATTTCTCACTTGAACATTACATATAAAAGAGAGCTCTCTACATGAGGATATAATCATATAATGGTAATACTAACATTTTCATTGGCAACCCTTTCCTTCTCCTCAAGTTCCTCTACACGTTGCTTCCAATGGATGAGTTCCTTTGCATGAGCTTCCACACGCTTATTAAGTAAACTTGACTCTGTCCTTGATTCAGTAAAATCCACAACACACAAACACACTACAATTAGCACTTTGTGTAACACAAAGATCCGTTTTGTTAGAAGCTCCCAAGTAATGGGCTAAATCACAAAAGATAAATTACTCCCTCTCACCCAAAAAATAGGTTCCGAGTTTCCATTTTGGTTTGTCACAATAAAAGGTTTCATTTTCCTTTGAAAGAAAAAAAATGTGTGATTCATATAATTCCTCTCTCTACATAAATTTCAACCACAAACTTTCACCTTTCTTAATAATCATACCCGGTCAAATATGGAACCTTATTTCGGGACAAAGAGTATAAAAATGCAAGTGGCCCTAGGTGTAGGGAATTTATCACATAAAATGTGGGCTAACTAGAAGAGCATCTATATTTTATAGGCGACAACAAATCAAAGCATTACTCTCAATACACTGAGGTGGCATAGAATCCATTTTTCTAGGCTATCAAAAAATAAAGTTACATAAAAATTTAATCAAAATAAGAATTGAATGTAGATTGATCATTAACATCATTTCATGTGTGCGTGCATGGTGCTCATTTTTCTATAGGTAATACAATTTTAATACGAACCTCAACTCTTCCACTGAATGTTTGAACTCAATAATCTCGAGCTGGGATTGCTTGATAATGTTCTCTAATGCCCCGGCCTAATTGATAAAATTGACAAATCAGAAACAAGACGACAATTCAACTCTATGATCAAAATGTTTAAAATCAATAGAGAACTAAGTGTACCAGCGCATAAATATCATCTTCTGTGTCCACAATACCAACATCATCATGACCTCTATCATCAGAAGCAGTAACCTTTCCTTCCCTAAGATGACCGCTAAAATTGTAACTTATTCCAGCCTCTTTTAATCCATTTTCAGCTATCTTAAAGAGTTCATTTGTTTTTGATGACAAATCTGCCGAAGCTCTTCTGGATAAAGCACTTCTTAGTAAAGACCCAATCTGCTCCTTCTCCTTCATTAGTTGAGAAACAGTTTCATTAAGGCCTTTCACTTCATGGTTCCTCTCGTCCATAAATTCTATTGTTTTATCAACCACAATTTGAGTTAATTCATTTATGGAGTCCAAACCAGCCAAAGAAGCCCTAATATTCTCCTCCATATCCATTTGCTGAGCAAGAAACAAAGATTCTGACAATTCAGATGACTTCTTACTGTCAACTACCTTTATAACATTACAAATGTTTTGGTGTATTTTGGATACATAATTAAGTTGTTCGGCCAATAATGACCTTTGCAAATCCATTTTCGATTCCAAACTGCTTGCTTTACCATCAGACTCCACAAGCTTCTTCTTCAATCCTAACACTTCAGTTTCCGATGCACTTAGTTTGTCAACCATCTGGCTTTCTAATTCAGAAAATTTCCCATCTTTCTCGGCCACGGAGCTTTGCAATTCCTCTACAAGGGTATTTTTCTTCGAGACCTCCTCTCTCAAAGAGCTTATTGTTGATTCAAGCTGCGAAATCTCAATAGCAATCTCATAGTTCCTCTGTTCCATCAGTTCCCGAGCCTCATTCCTCCCCTTAGCAGCCGATTCCACCTGCCTCAACATCTCCTCCACAATCTCATTTGTTCTTTTGATCACACCATAAGCTACAGCAGGCAAGCCGGTGTATTTATGCGACCGAGGCAACCCACCAGCAGCAAAGTTCTTAAAATGGCTTACTTTTCCTGAAATCTTGTCGATCCCAGTCACTAGCATTGAAGCAGCCGTCTCTATTTCCACCCTAGCAGACTCTTTAGCTTTCATTACTTCTTCCAACTGCTTGTGAAACTCATCTCTCTGCTTTGAGATTTCATCTTTTTCCGTCCTCGCCAGGCTGAGCTCGCCCGACAACTTCTCAATCGTTCTAGAAGCTTCTTCCTTCTCGCGGAAGGCCTCGTCGCGTTGTCTGGTACACTCGTCGCGCTTCTTTATAGCCTCATGAGCAAGGTTTTTCAACCGGCCGAAGGAGACCTGCAACTCCGATTTGCTACTCTCGGCGGCCGCGCGCAGCTGCCTCTCGCGATCGAGCTCGGCGAGGAGCTCCCGGAATTTCTCGGGGGAGACATCCTCCGGTGGCAGAGTCTTAACATCAATCTCCGCCGATTCGTCCTCCTCCACATCGCTCAAAACTGCGTCATATTCATCTTCCCCTGTGTTCGCCATTTGCATCTAGATGAATATCATGAAGATTGTAACCGATCTCTAGCAGAATCGAGTAAAATTGAATTGGATTGGCGATGTGCGATTTCAATGATCAATGGAATGAATCAAAGTCGATTGGAACTTGACGTTTGAACCCTAGAATGTGAAGCAGGGTATGACTCAGGTCGGACAAGAGTAGAATCATGAATTCATGGTGCTAATTGCAATGGATTTAGATGATCTTTCTTTAGACACGTTTGGTATATGGAATTGACGGAATTGGAATTGAATTGGAATTGAAATTCCATTGAATTCAATTCCAAAGAATTAATTCTACTGATTCCAATTCATTTGTTAGACTATCAATTCCAAATCCACATAATTTTTGTACTACCAAACACCAAAATTGGAATTGAAGTCCTCAATTCCAATTCCATAATTTAAATTCTGTGTACTAAACGGGGCCTTAACTTAATTTTATTTTTGAAATTTGCATGTTTTTTCTACATATGGAATAGTATTTAAATTTTTTATTCTCTAAATACTATTTAAATAATATATATCGATGAAAAAATGTCCAGTGACAATAAATATTTAGTTTAAACAATGTCTAGTGGCGATTGACAATTATTTAAACAATAACCAGTAGACATGTACTACATTGGGAAATAAAAATATATGGTACGACATTGAAAAAATTACTATATTTTTGTACTATTTAGGTAAATTCTCCTTCTTATTAACTTACGGAGTATTAGGGCATTTACAATGAAAAGAGGAATTCGCCACGCTGCACAAATTCCCACGCCGCGCCGCGCCGCGCCGATCGATCATTGCAGGATGAGGGCGACGATTTCAGCCGCGCGGCACACGCCCCAGGTCTGGAGTTGAGCCGGTTGATGGGCGAACAGTCACAATGGACGGCCGCCGCGAATTTATTTTAATAAATCTACCTAGATAGGAGTAAAAAAACTGAAAAATATCAAAATAGGAGTTTTAAGTCTTTTAAGGCCAAAATATGAATATAATGGTAATGCAGTGTAAGAGTACACAATGGTGGTATGATGGAAAAGTGATTATAGTGTAATATGTAAGTGTGATGAGTCAATCGTCGGTGATTCATAGCAGCACTCAGGTGGCCGACGACGACGACGTATGGCAGTGTGATGGTGGTAGAGTAATAACTACAATGTGATAATGTAGTAATTTTAATTTTAAACATGTAAAATTTCTCCTTTTATTTATGTAGTACTACCTCCGTCCCAGAGTATTTGTCCACTTTCATTTTTACACACCATCTAATGCAATTCTTTAATCCATTTTATCTTGTAATTTGTATATTAAAAAATTATAAAAATTATATATTAATAATCTATATGTTAAGACAAATCAAACAAGATCACACATGACTATATTTAGGCTTACACATTGAGAGAACATTGAGAGAATTTGATGAGTCAAAGTGCTTAGATGAACAGTTTCAAAAGTCAAAAGTGGACGAATATAGCGGGACGGAGGGAGTATTTCGTAATTTAAAGTGGTATTTGCTTATTTTTAATTGTTACTTTATTTTAAATCACTCATCTTTTTTTCCTAAATTTATACTAGTTTTGAATTAAAAATGATGAATAATGTAAACAAAAGAGAGGCGGGTTTTCGAGGCGATAACATTGCAGGATTGGGACAGGGTGGAAAGTTAGTGGGATGCTGATATCACAGGAGTTGGGACATGTTAGATTTACTCCCCATTGTAAATGCTTTTACTTTTTTATTGGAATCAGATCAAATGAGATTATATCATAGCAGACCAGATATAAGAAATAACTTTAAATGTAACTACATCAGATTAGGTCAGATCAGATCAGAATTGATTCCACTCATATCAAAAACATCCAAATCAAGTGAAGAAAAAACGACCCACATCTTGTTCGAGAGTAAATAGTTAAAGAAAAAAGAGTGATGATAGTCACACCCCAAATTTGTAGCATTTGAAAGTAAAGAAAAACAAGAGTCCACCTGATTCATCCGTCGGGACGGATGGCAGCTAAAAACAAGAAAGAGAGATGATAAGAATAACAGAACACCTTAGGTGGACAATTGCCACATGCTCCCTTTGAATATTTATCCATTTTTAATTTTTTTAGTCAAAATTAGTGAATTTTAATTTCAAATTAAATAAAAATGATGTTAAATATTGATATAAAACTAACTTTATTAGATTTTGTAAATTAAATTTTTCAAAACAATAATGACCGACATAGAAACATTTTTTACGGAGTAAAAAAAGTTAATAGATAGAATATTATTACACGCAATTCAATAGAAAAATAAAATTATTTTTCGTCAAGAGGGTAACGGTGGTCCAAATTGCGTAACAACTTGAAAAGTTGAGATTATTTTAAATAACAATGAAAAGAAGGATTATTTTCAGAAGGCCACTGATAGGTGGGATTATTTTACATAATTTATCCTTTTATAAAAATGTTGAGTACATGATTTACTCATTTACACTTTTTCTTGCTCGTCAGCATAAATCTCAATCACAAAATTTCATTTTTCAACTCTGAAGAAATCAAAGTGAGAAATTTAATTCAGGACAGAATAAGTATATTGAATTGAAAACAACTTTATCCATATTGGAGACCTAGTCAGGCGTCAATTGACACATCAAGTTTTCCACTCATCGTTCCAACAAATACTTTTTGCCCTCAACATTTCCATATTCATCCTTCCCACATGCACTTTCAATTTTTCCACATCACCAATGTTTCTTTATTTGAATATAATTATTTAATTTTTATGTAATAAACAGTACTAGGTACAAAGTATTTTTATTTTTACCATTTGAAAGGTGGAAAGCCCACCCCAGGTGTCCCATACCCGACTCGAAAAGATTGTAATGTGAATAAATCATGCTATAATCTCAATATAATCCTTAGCGAGGACGCCCCGTGCCTGATGCGCACAAGAAGCTATTACAAATTTGTAGCATTTGAAAGTAAAGAAAAACAAGAATCCACCTGATTCATCCGTCGGGACGGATGGCAGCTAAAAACAAGAAAGAGAGATGATAAGAATAACAGAACACCTTAGGTGGACAATTGCCACATGCTCCCCTTGAATATTTGTCCATTTTTAATTTTTTTAGTCAAAATTAGTGAATTTTAATTTCAAATTAAATAAAAATGATGTTAAATATTGATATAAAACTAACTTTATTAGATTTTGTAAATTAAATTTTTCAAAACAATATTTTATCTAATTAATATACAATACATTTTATTTAATTATAAGTCAAAGATTAAAAATAATTGATTGAAAAAATCAAAACTGGATCGATACTCAAAGATGGAGGGAGTAGGTTACAAGCCAGGATATTATCCCAGCATTCGAAGGAATCTTAGAAGAAAAAACTCAATTATTACTAAAACATGCTACACATACAAAAATAAAATATTCATTGTTTTTATACTGAACCAAGATGCAAAACATAATATCAAAAAGAGTAAATTCCATAAAAGATCCTCAGTTATAGGTCGTTTTACATATTTAGTCCCTACATACCAAATATTACAAATTTAGTCCTCAATTATTATATTCATTTCCACGAATGGTCCTTTGTTAACATTTCCGTTAAAAACGTGGATACAATTGTAAATTCACACTCTTTTCTCTTCTCCTCAATTAAGCTTCCTCCCTCCCCTCGCACTCCTTTTCCAAACCAGTCGCTGAGTTTGAAGCTTTGAACCCAAAATTGAAATCATCACTCTTCTCTCAATTGTTTGTCTAACTGGTGGAACCCAAATTCGAAACCTGGAACCTTCACGGATGAATTTTAATGTTTATTTCTTTGCAATTTTTTGAGATTAATCGATAAAACTCATCCATAAAGTTTATTGATTTTGATTTTAGGTTCCACTAGGAAGACTAATAATTGAGAGATGAATGATCATTTCCGAGACTTTCTGCTCAAAGTTCTACGAAGTACTCTCTCGGTCCGGAAATGTTCTTCACATTTGACTTTTCCTTGTCCAAATTTGTAAATTTTGACTCCGATTTGTGAAAAAACCATTGTATTATTATGATATTAATTTAATATCAATATATTCCAAGTGAGACGTAGTTTTGAAATATCATTTTTTTATAAAATATATCTATGTGTAAATATAGATATTAATGATCAAAATTGAATATTAGAGACCGTGAAAAATCAAATGGGAAGAACATTTTTCAGAGGGAGTGAATATAATTTGATCTTATTTAGGCATATTTTTTTTTAAACTCATTTTGAGATTCGAAAGGAGTATATAAGTCATGCGTGGGGAGCATGGTTGGTCAATCCCAATATTTGAGCTTGAGTTAAAAATACAAAACGCTCACAAAACCTCTCAACCCATTGCAATAATTTGTCAATCTCCAAAACACACATGTTTTCCCTAGCTAATAATCTGCCCTCAATTCTATCCGCATACACAACATTTACCGGATTAGCATTCTTGATCCGGACAATCCTAGGCGAGTTCAAAGCCATTGTCAACCAGATCTTGCCCGGAGAAATCTAGGCAAGAATCTGGCAAAAACTCGAACGCATGATGACAATGTGCAACTTCACATCCCAAATGACAATGGTCATTGAAGAGTACAATGGCCTCACTCCCAACGAGATCTTCGAGGCTTCCGAGGTTTACTTAAGATCAAAGTTGGGCACGTTATCGACCAATAGGCTCAAGATCTGCAAGGCGACGCAAGAAGCAAATATCTCTTTCGTTGTAAGCAGAAACGAGAAGATAAATGACACGTTTGAAGGCGCAGAGTTCATATGGGAATTGAAAGTCGACCCCACTTCGCCTCGTCAGAAGCCAAGCAACGATTATGATGTTCGCCCGCCTTTGGAAGTAGGGGACTTGAGATCATTTGAACTCACATTGAACAAGGAGATAAAAGGTATGGTTTTGACATCATATATTCCATTTGTGTTGAAAAAGTCAAAAGAACTAAGAGAAAAAGAGAAGGTGATCAAGCTTTTGCCACTTGGAAATTGGCATGAGGAAGTCTGTCTTGACCACCCCTCCACATTTAAGACTCTTGCGATGGACCCAGACCTCAAGAGGGAACTCATTGAGGACTTGGACCGGTTCGTGCGACGAAGGGAGTATTATAGGAGAGTTGGGAAAGCATGGAAGCGAGGGTACTTGTTGTATGGACCCCCTGGAACTGGGAAGTCAAGCCTGATAGCGGCGATGGCAAATTACTTGAAATTTGACATCTTCGACTTAGACCTCACAGGCCTGAAGAGCAACTCGGAACTCCAAATGAGAATGCCCCTGACCAAGAATAAATCCATTCTTGTAATTGAGGATATTGATTGCAACATTGAGGCGCAGAGCAGAAACCTTGTCGATAACACTCACAAGGAAAGTCAGGTAATGACGAGGGACATTAATATTTTTCGCGTTTAATAGTCACAAAATGCACATTTTTTTGTACTTCATCTATCTTAGAATAAGGCTTTTGTGTTCTATTACTTATTTTTTTTCAAATGTACTATACTTGTACATATTCACCATTCAAAACAGGCGATAATAAGGTTTTGTTTAATGGGCAGCTAACGCTATCAGGTTTATTGAACTTCATTGATGGACTATGGTCGTGCTGTGGGGACGAAAGGATCATCGTGTTCACAACTAACTGCAAAGAAAGACTAGACCCGGCACTCCTTAGACCCGGAAGAATGGACGTGCACATCCACATGTCCTATTGTCCCTTTTGATGTAGTAGAGTACAATTTATTTCAACATATAGTCATCGCAATCCCAAAATAAAGCTTATCTTGTTCTAATAATTGTCTTTAGAGTGCATGGCTATAATTTATTTTTATTTTTGAGAGGACTTCCAAAAAATGTAAATAATTTTTTGGGACGCGACGGAATGAGTAAGGGGCTGTTTGGCAACTTCTGAATCGGTAAGTGCTGAACCAGTAAGAGGTCTGAACCATTAAGAGCTAGTATATTGCTTAACTATTCAGAGGCAAATGTCTGATCAATTCAGATAAGAGGTCCTAACCATTCAGACTCTGTATAATACTTAACCATTCAGAGGCAAATCTCTTAACCATTCAGACATCTGAACCATTAAGAGGCTGAAACAAACAGTCTGAACCATTAAGTGCTGAACCATTCAAACATCTGAACCATTAAGAGGCTGAAACAAACAGCCCCTAAGTATAGTCTTTACTTATTTTCTTCCTTTTGTGATTTTGTTTTATGTCTGATTTGACTCAATTTTAGAGAAATGTAGAGATTATATAATCCTTCTGTTCGTAAAAGAATTTTACACATTTTTAGTTTAGGTATTCTATTTTTTTTGGAGGCCAAACATTGAAATTCCTTTTGTTACAGAGCAGCTAAGATTTGTTAAAAAAAAATAAGAGCAGTGTTTTTTTAAAAGAAATAAGGACCGTTAGTCATTTTTTTTGCTTTATTTTACTTTTTAATTTTTTTTACCATTCCTTCTTTATTTTTTTGCAATGAGAGAAAAGAGAAGAAATCGTCTCAAAAAACCAACCCAACCAAAAAATCAAGTTTATGGTGGTATATTTGAAAAAAATTATACAGAGATTACTTTAACATGCTTCTTCACATGCAGACGATATTTATTTTTGCTCGAACCTGACGCGTGAACATTATTTTTTTTAAAACTAGGTGGCGATGGAGATTAAACTTGTGACCTCTTAGTCGTCAAAACTCTGATATCATGTTAAAAATTAATCTTAACGAAAAACTCAAACTTGTAATTGTAGGCCTAATAAAATTTTATAATCTAACTCGTAGGAATAGGGTCAACTTTTTTTTATTCCATTCTAGGAGTCATAGAGATACAACCTTTGTCAAAACAATAGAAAAAGCAACCAATTTTGATTAGAATTGAAATTCTATAAGTAAAATTTGCAATAAATAGGACTAAAACATAATGACTTTCCCAATGTAGGACTTAAACTTTTTTATTCCCTAAATAGGACTTAATAATGACCTAGTGGGAAGAATAATGTCCAGTAATGATGGACATTTACTTGAATAATGACTACTTGATAATGACCAAAAGTCCTACATTGGGAAATAAAAACATATGGTCCTATATTGGGAAAGTCATTATGTTTTGATTCTATTTAGGTAAATTTCTCATTCTATAACCACCTCTTAATACTCTCCTTGTTCTTATTTACGAAGTATAAGTTATCTTACCGATTAACTTTAAAAACACTAACTATAAAGTCTGAATATATAATTGAATAACAGTTTTAAAATGTTAAAGCTAAACGAACCAAACGAAATTGTTGTGTGATTCTATAGGATCATTAATCATTCATTTAATTTAATCGCAAACACGATCCGTAGTTCTTTTAACACTAATAATTTTATTATAAAGTGGTATCCGTTCACATACTGCGGAGTTTCTTAATTACATTTTATTCCTTATGTTTATTCACTCGGAACATGTAAAATTATTTAGATTTAGGATGTGTTTTGTTGGGAAAAAATATTTTTCGAGAATAGCATTTTTCAAGAGGAATTCCCCTCACATTTCTATTGTTTGGTAAGAAAGAATCTATTTTTCCAGAAAAATATTTTTAGTTTTTAAGATTTCAAAATATTTTTCGGCCACTTATATTTTCAAACAGGGAGAAATGAAATTAAAATTTTTCAAAAAAATATTTCTCCAAACAAACACACCTTAGGGCACTATTATTTTCCATCCATCAAGTTTTTCACCTCTTTTCCCTAGGGGTATGATTAATGAATGTGGGTAGAAAATAGGTATCCATTATTGCATTAAGCATCTGCTTTTTTTCAAACATAAAGAAAAAGTAATGGCGGTAAATCCGGTGATGATGGGTACTGTTATTGGTGTTTGTTATTTTTATAGATCTTAAAAACAATCTTTTATGTGTTTCACTTCAGAGTTATTTTATAGATCTTAATATATATAATGATTATACGCATTGGAATGTGTAAAATAGAAAATGATACAATTTTGAGTCCATACCCATTAAAAATGATTGTTTTTTTGATACGGTTTATATTTTGGCAAAGTTTAATCAGTTTGGATCTAGTTTTCGATTTTTTCATACAGCCCTAGAAGCAATCACTAAAAAACTAACTTTGACTCTAACCCATAGTTCTTCTACATTACTCTAATTGTCCCATTTTAAAGCTATTGTTTTGAGTTAGGATGTTGACTAAAATTATTTTTAATTTAATGCATTTGAAATTTAAAACAATTACATGCTGAAAAACTAGGTGATATGATTATACTATTTTATCAAATACTCTATCTGTCTCTAAGTACTTGTCCACTTTAAACTTTTTTCCGTCAAAACCAGTAAACTTTGACCTCAAATTAAATAAAAAAAATATTACATATTGATACAAAAAATAATTTTATTAGATTTATTATATAAAATATTTTCAAAAATATTGTTTCATCTAATTAATACACAATATATATTTTATTTAATTATAAGTCAAATGATAAAAATAGTTGACCGAAAAAAATCAAAACTGGACAAATAATCAAGGACGAAAGTAGTAAGTAGTACGTAGTAAAAGTAACTAAAGAAAGTGAATAAAATCTGACCACGTGTATAGTAAACAATGCAATTTAATTTGGGAAAAAAGGAGTATAACAGAGTCAATAGCACTCAAAAAACTTATCTTAAATGTTTACCTTATTTTTTGAAACCAATACATTAAAACACAAACGAATAAAATTAAAATATTAAAGTATTTAAAATTTTAAAATAATTAACAAGTGAACAATAATCATTAAATGGTGAAGAGAGAGAATGAATGAAAAATACCTAAAATTGTCCACATGTTTATTTTTTTACTCGTAAGTTAGAAAAAGTTGGAAGTTAATTTTCAAACGAAAAACAAGAATATATCACTACCAAGTACCAACACTAGCAAATTCTTCATGAGACCCATAGAGCAACAAAGACACCAAATCATTCAAAGACAATCTCAAATTATAAATTTGCACATACAAGAGTTGCCCCCGAAAGCAACATTGAATAAAGTTCATACACATTTTTATGAAAGATCTGCAGGAAAATGTCTTAAAAACATAGTATAAGAGGTTTACAAGAAACACTTCATTCTTCCATAGCATCTCCGCCTTCAACGACTACATCCACCACGTCAATCAAGGGTGTGACTTTCGTGAAAAGAACCTCTGTAGAAACAGTTAATATTCCAAGTCAATTAATCATCCAAGCCACGAATTGCATGACACATTCAGAGGGGAAAAAAACACCAAGTGAGAATGCAAACCAGTCTTTTTAGGGAAGGTGTAACCCTTCTGGGGGTACGTTCTGGGATTCGGGGTCCTATGGTTTCTAATGTATTCGGCGTGCCCCTGAACAAAAAAACATAGATAGTTCTTAGAAATATTTAGGTATCGCGTGGTAGTACCACATAGTATCTGTCAAACCTTAATTGCGAAGTGTTCCAAGAAACATACCTTGGTTATGACACAAACATCGACATTGCTCCCACTACCCAGATCATTGAAAATACCTGCCTCTATGGCATCTGTCACCAGTTGGATTCCTTCATCCCTCTGTATTAAAAAAACTCTTTACAGAAGATAATCCCAAATAATGTCCTAATGCAACTGAATACACGCACCACTAGAGCTATCAAACAGGCCGGGCGGGTTTTGATCTGTGCGTGACCTAGATTGTTTGGGTCTGGGTCAACTGACTGAGTTGGAAATGGTTTCTTAAAAAATTTAAAATGTATGGAGTACCACAACCCCAGTAACTCCGTCAGGGTCTGGGAGTCGAGATGTACGAAATCCTCTCTACTAAAAACATGATATCCTTGATGTATCTATTTCCCAAAACTACATAGAACATAAGAAACAAAGGAAGTTTAATGTGACATTATGAGCTAGTCCATTATTTACTCGAAGCTAAAACATTGTCAAAATGGCTCTTTTAGCTCCATTTATCATGGAAGGAGTATTTAACAATATAAATGTAAAAAATTATACATTAATTTAAGCTATTAGAGAGGAATATAATGTCCTAAGATTTTTCTTTGTCAATTTTAATTGGGTTCTGAAAATAATACTAAATTATTATAGAGAAAGTACACCCTCCTTTTCAAATTAATTTGCCACGTTTGAATAGGCATGATTTTCAATAAGTAAAACTACTTCCTCCGCCCCACAAAAAGATTCCACAATGGAATTGGCACGATTGTTAAGAAAAATGAAATTGTGATTGAAAGTAGTGCAGAGAAGGGAGAAAACATATGATCCCTGGAAAATTTTTCATAAGTAGAAACTGGAACCTTTTTTGGAACAGATGAAAAAAGAAATTTGGAACCTTGTTATGACTTATGGTATAAAAGTATGTGATTGGGATGTGTCCAGAGGAGAAAGCAATGTATGAACTACATATAGCTTTCCAAAAATGAAAATATGCATTAAATTGGGACGGACACAAAAAGAAAAGGCGCTAGAGAACTTGGGACGGATACAATAGTAAAAACTACTCCCTCCGTCCCACAAAATTCATAGTTTCCAGATTGAGAATTAGGATGTCCCGAAAAGGTTTACAAGTTTACTTTTTCATTTAGGAAATGAATTTATATGACTCGCAACTTTTCTCTCTCTACCTAAACAAATTCTAATGACCCACTTTTCACTTTTCAACATTTTTTAAATTTTGTGAAGTCAAACCATGAACTTCTTTACGTGATAGAGGGAGTAGAACAATGTTAATGAGACAAACAACAATAAAATCTAATTAAAAAATAGAAATAAACAATATTATTCATTCAAATGGAATGGAAAGAAAATAATATTATAATATGGTAGTGACCTTTTATAACTTTATATTTGGAAACAATCTTATCCTAGTTTGTTGGTTGGTTTGGGTTGGATCAGGTTTAACAAGTTGTTTTGGGATGGGTCACTTTTAGGTTCCTATAGCAAAGCCCGTGATTAAACCTAGAACCTTATGTTGGTTCTCAAGTTTTAAAATAGGCCAGGTCAATTTTTTGCAGGTATGTCAAATATACTTACGCTTAGATTCTCCCGGTATCTTGACTCAAATACAGACATTGCTGCAAGGGAACCAGAGCCCATTGTAGCAAAAGGGAGTGTGTCGGTTGAGCCATGCGGATAAATCTGCAAAACAATTCATTAATAGACATTGTAGTCACAGTAGTTAAGATGGTTAGGCTATGGTTTTAGAGATTACTCACAGTATGCAAGTGTGGGCCAGTAACATCAACTCCACCAAGAACCAATGCAGCTGAAACATGTCCTTGGTAACTGGATAGATCACAATACAGTTAGCCCTTCCACATTACAAATAATACCAACGTATAGTAATTGCTAGGAATGCAAGTATAGCAAAGATGAAAATGTGCTCACTTGAAAAGATGAGACTTCAAAAGTGTAAGTGCTGTGACCACCCTGGATTCACGACCAGTGTGGTATCTGTGAAGCTTCAGTTGGGAGCTGACCATGTCTAGAAAATAGCCATTGGGCAATAATAAAAAACTGAGATGCCGAAAAGCATGCCTTCAAAAAAAGAGATAAATAACAAAAGGAAGGTGTACCGGTCACAGCCTCGGTATCAGCAGCAGTCCCTGCTCCACAACAATAAATGTTTGGAGCCATAAAGTGAATTTTCTCACAATTTTTATCAGCGACTATGGGTCCTTCAGTAGCTCGTGTGTCCGCTCCGAGAATGACACCATCCTGGGTATATTATCATCATCATTAAACTAGTTAAGTAATCATATTTTGTTTCAGTGGAGGGATTGATGAGCATCAACCATAGTAGGTAGTTAGAAAGCTACATGCCTACTTCATCAGCCGACCAGTAATAACTATAACTATCCAAAGCAGAAACGAGTATAGGGAAAATGAGTTGAGGAAACCGTTTTGAGGCGGA